ATGTTAACGTTCTATTTTGTTTTAATGAAGTATCCCCCTTCCATAGGATTGTTTGATCGTTTGTTGTTTAACGTCCAATTCGAGAATTTTTCACTCGTATAGAGACTCCACCGCATGCCGGTGAAGGGCGTCAAATTTAGTTCTTTATTCGGCACTCAGGACCACTGAGCAGTCAGGGTTCTCTATCGTGCCAACGCCTACCCTGACACAGGACCTCGGTTTTTAAGGTCTCATCCGAAACTCTCACTTCTAGTGCCGGGAACTTGGCGAAGGAACAGTCACTACTTGTGTTTACGCGTCTTAGGTTTGACGCGGCGCGGCGAACGAGAATCGAATCCGGGCCGCCTGATCACGAAGCGAGTGCCCTACAACTAGGCCACTCCTTTCCATTGGAAGATGATTAATATATTATTAAAATAGATAGAGATCATTTCAAAATCTTTTTTAATGGAGAACCTTGCAGAACATATGTAAAATCTTATTTGTATATAATGAAAATTCACTATTTTCAAACCATGTTACCAACTTGGCAAGGGCTTGGATGGGATTTCAAAAATGAGTGAAAGTTTGCATAGAAATAATACACAGGTTTACCTTTTCGAATACTTCAAGATGACAAAATATCAAACTAAAATCCAAGTACCCGTCTCTTCATGTGGTGCTGAAGGCAGAAGAAGTTAAATGCAATTTACGTGCATAATTTATATTTATGTAAGGGATTTTTTTTGCATCTTCTCAAGAAGAAAGGGATTACAAGATATCAAGTTAGTATGAAGTTTACGAAGTACAAATTCAAATATCTGTACTTCATTGCTACCAATAGACCCAAGTGGGACTCTCAAGTTTAACTGAGGAGTATATTTATTCTCTATTAAAAAACAAAACAAATAAAGTGGATCCAATTCTTCCCTTGCTGTTTTTTTTTTTTTTTTTTTTTTTTTGGTCATTAAAGCCAATGCTTCATTTAAAAAAAAAATCATCCACTTTATATTTTCTCCTTTATTTCATGAGAAATTGACTTTATTAATCAGTTGATTAACCCTTAACTAGTTGAAACAGGATTTATTTTAATTTTTTTTTTAAAGCTATTTCGTATGAAATGGGCTCTTCCATCAATGTAACTTACATATCAATAGTACAACATTTTACATATTTACACCCACGTTTCCATAATGATTTATACAGACATAAACAATAAAATATCTTTCTTTAATTGTAATACAAGAAATAACGGTTGGGTCCAAACGTTTTGTGCAGAAAAAAAATGCGGTTTTTATATAGACTGTACATGTATGTGTATTATAGTTTTTTTTCTGCAATGGTTGCAACCGTGCAACCAAAGAAAGCAATTTATTTGTTTGTTTTTTAAGTGAAAGCGGAACAATTACCTTATTGAAGTCCCTAGGAAGTTAAACATTTTTAAGGTTGCATTCTTCGTATAAAAGGGGAAAACAAAGAGTGATTAATTTTTCTTTTTAGCTCACCTGAGCTGAAATCTCAGTGGGTTTATCTGATCACCAATTGTCCGTCTGTCAGTCCGTTTGTAAACTTTTTATATTTTCAACTTCTCAAAAACCAAAAAACAATTTAAATAAAGTTGGTACAAAGCATCCATGTGTAAAGGACATTCTAAATTATTAAAATGAAGGGCCAGGCCAAGTCCCCATAAAATATATGGAGATAACGAACAGTATTCAAGCTCGAAAATCCATTCAAACAATACAAATCAGGAGCAGAGCAATCTCGGGCCTCTAAAACATCAGAGGTGGGATCAGGTGCCATGGAACTGTGAGCATCCTCTGCTGACTTGTCATGATCGGGAAATGACGGGGAAAAAACCGTCGACAATTCTGTCTGTAAATAATGGTCTAACACTTAGTATGAAAAACGTCAGTCAGCATTTGACTTAATGATAGATTGTATTTGCTGACAAGGTCATACGTCGACTATACAACTTACGAAAGTATGACTTTAAACGAGATTGTTGATATTCTTGTTTCATCAACTTGTTTGTCAATAAATTGCCTCGTTTTAGAAACTGTTCATACGTAGAGCATGCTCTTGCGTATCGAATCAACTGAGAGACATAAAACTCATATTCAGGTGATAAGGGTATATTGCTGCATAGGTAAGGGAAGTTGACGATGAAAAGTTAAGTCATCTCGTTTATCATAAAGCTTGGTTGTTAGATTACCATTAACGTCTTTTTTAGTAAAATATCCAAATATGAAACAGATGTATCAGACTCTGTGGTATCTTTTATTTCAAGCTCACTGGGATATATCGATATATTTAAATGTCGAGTTGGTTGATTGATTGTATGTTGTTTTACGTCCCATTCGAGAAATTTTCACTCTTGTAGAGACGTCACCATATACCGGTGAAGGGCTTCAAACTTAGACCTTTACTCGGCACTCAGGAACATTGAGCAGTGAGGGATCTTTATCGTGCCAACGCCTGTCGTGACACGGGGCCCGGTTTTTAAGGTCTCATCCGAAGGACCCGCAACTTTCACTTCAACGTGCTGAGCGCTTGGCGAAGGAACAGTTGCTACAGTTGAAATTTATGTATAAGCTTCCTGGTGTAGTATAGATTCTAAATTGTTCAAATCATGGCCCCCGGGGTAAGGGTAATGACACAAAAGGGAATCAAAATTTTACATTGAAACATATAGGAAAAATCTTTAAAAAAAATATTCTTCTCAAGAACCTCTGGGCCAGTAAAGCTGAGCCTTATGTGGAAGCTTCCTGGGGTAGTGTAGATTCTAAATTGTTCAAATCATGATTCCCGGAGTAAGGGTGTGACCACAAAAGGGAATCAAAGTTTTACATTGAAACATGTGGGAAAAAATCTTTAAAAATCTGCTCAAGAACCACACTGGGCCAGTAAAGCTGAAACTTCAGTGGAAGCTTCCCTGAGGTAGTGTAGATTCTAATTTTTTTTTTTAATCATAACTCCCGGTAGGATGGGACTACAATAGGGAATAAAGTTTTACTTTGAAATATATAGGAAAAATATTCTTCTCCAGAACCATTGGACGAGGAAAGCTGAAACTTACATGGAAGCTTCCTGAGGTAGTGTAGATTCTAAATTGTTCTAATCATCCCCCGGGGTAGGATGGAGCCACAATAAAGAATGCCAATTTTTACATGAAATATATAAGGAAAAAAATCTTTAAAAATCTTCATCTCAAGACCCACTAGCCAAAAAAACTAAAACTAATGTAGAAGCTTTCTGGAGTAGTGTAGATTTCAAATTGTTCAAACCATGGCCCCCGGGGTAGGATGGGGCCACAATAAGGAATCAAAGTATTACAAGGAAAATCTGATGAAAAACAGCAGGGGCAAAGTGACTCAGATGAGCGCTGGGGCCCATTGGCCTCTTATTTATACTCTCTATTTCATTCACTAAGGTATACAATGTGGTCTAAACAGTTTTACATGTACCGTGTCAAGTTCCCATGAATCTAATTGTTGAGTACAATATTTTTCTTCATTCTTTAACTGTCGCATTAAATAGAATTTTAGGAAGAAAGAGAAGTACAAAAGCAAACGATCGATAATAAGACCACATTTAAATTCAATTTGCGATGGGAAATACGGGTTCTAATACAGCCTTATTTTACTCTTTCTGAAATTGCTAATTATTTCATTGTAAATATAGTGACTTTAAAGTAATTTCTGTATTAATTCAATTTTTGTGTAGATTTTGTTTAAATTTGATGTACTTGTTTGGCCTCGGCTAGTTCCCTTGACGTTGGTGCCTCTGTAAAATTTATTTTGTCAGAGCCTGGGCCATTATCACATCATACTCCTCTCTTCTCACGCTTAGTGCTGAATGGGGTACCGGGGGACAGACCCTTTATACAGCCAGAACAAAACGGATCTTTTTCAAGTTGCATGATTAAATGATGTTAACGATGTTGAAGCTGGGATCGCTATACAAGTTTCTGACTAGACTCCACGACTCCATGCAAACGTAGTCTTTGCTTTATTTACAATTAAATAATTGTATCGGGTGTTTATTCAATCTCCCCCTTATTAGACTGTAATTAAATTACAACGCGTAGGATATATCTAGCATTTTTAAATACTAATTATATCATATCACTCAATCATTCTCATCTCAAACAACAAAGACCTCAATATTCCAGTGGTTGGTCCCAGGAGAGGCGCTAATGAAAATTGAATCTTCATATAAAATAGTATTGCCTACAAATTGATTTTCCAACCTCGGCTGTCAGGAAGACAAAACACAACAAGATTTATATAACTTTTTACCACTTTGCACATCTTGGGCGTTGGTAGGCTTAAAAAATGTGTTACCGTGCTAAAACATACAAATTTAAACCGACATGCTCAATTTTGCGAAAACAATCAAACGTTCGACACATTTTATTATTTTTTTTTTCTAATTAAATTGTTAGTCCTAAAAGCTATTCATTTTGAAACTCCTTTTTTCCTATATATACCAATAGAATAAATCGCTTAAACGTTCCATTTTCCCCTCAAATAAAGCTCCGAAATTTCGTCAATATTTGGGGGGTTTGTGGGCTGTTCCTTGGACGTCTGCGTGACTTCTCAAGCCGCCAGATGAATTGTTAATGAATTGTGGTTCATTGGAGAGGTAATTGCACATGGTGTACCAGAAAAAGAAAGACGTCAGCAGGAGATAAGAAAGTTGAAGAATCGTAGAACGCTTAAATATTTCCGGGGAGGCAGAATCCGAACTGCACAGCGCTGCCAGTAATGCCTTTTTTCCGTGTACTCTGAAATTTCTATTCCATTGCCTGTTCCTACAATTTTTTCAAACGTGTACAATACCAATTCTTATGGCAAGCAGCGATATGTCCAATTGTAAATAACTGGATGAAAGTTAGCCTTGATTGGATAATGAAAATTGTTATTGATCCAATCGAATAGCTCTTTATTGTTCTGCATTATAACTAGAAATGTTGTGACAATATTTGGAAAGGGGATGGCAGTCCAGAGGATCCATGCATATAATTTTCCACATTAGCATTCATCTAGTGCCGCCAAACTCTACAGTACCAGATATCCGACAACGGTACAGTGGACCTTGTTATTTTATCGAGAAAATATAAGGAATTAATTAAAACTTTCAGGTAGTTTTGCAGGTTACCATCATGGACTTTACATCCAGTGCCAATAGTTTCATCAAGACACTACTGATGACTTTGTTTGTTTTCAATAAAGGTATGTATTGTTTCTAAAAAATCTAAAATCGATTTCTTTTTATTTTCCTTTTTTAAACTGCAATGCTGTTGTTTGCTTTCGTATGAGACCCCTTTATTTGCCAACAAAGTAGACAGTGCAAAGTAAATCAGTGTGATTAAGTGAACACAAAGGAATCTGTTATCGGCATTATTAAGTTGTATTAACAAATTAATGATATTTTAAGAGTTTATGATAAGGCCTTAATTCTCTGTTTTGTATTACTGTTGAACAGATTCCCAGAGCACTGTTTAACAACAGCCATTGACTCTGAAGAGCTCGTAGGAAAATTTCTTGTCATCAGTATCTGATAATTAGCAACAACTTACAATTCTCTCCTTAGGTTCGGGCACCTGCTGGTAAAATAAATCAGAAAAACGGACAGAGGCTGTGATCGAAATCAATAATGTCTCAAATAAATCCAGCACAGAACCTGTACCTCCGAAATTATTTCATCTGATGTAGGCGGAAGTAGTGTTCAATCCAAATATGTTTTCGCATCAAATACAATATAATTAATTTTCTTTTTTTTGGGAGGGGGGTAATAAATTTTTGAAAAATTTCATTAAATTGGAGTACCTTTAATAGTGTACAGGTGAGCAGTGATAAACTAGATATATGCTGCATTAAAGATCCTATTACTATCCTTTCAGTGTTCATCTGAGTTGCGTACTTTTCGGTATTTCTCTGATTTGCATACCTTTCACTATTCCTCTGATTTAAAATTCGATACTTACTTTAAATCTACAATAATGAATATGAGGAGTGCAACGACTTTAACATGAGTAAAAATGTTTTACATTTAAATGCACATATTTTTGAAAGGGGCGGGGGGAGGAGGTAAGTTATAAATTCATAACTTTTTGGTGTTAAGTAAGCAGCAGTTTAATGATACAAGTAATTGTTCCCTTAAAAATTATTTAATATATTAGCGTATTCCTGCACGGTCCATGCTGGCAGTTTGGGTATTCATGATCGCTTTTCCCTTACAATATTATTGTTTTGTCATGTTTTATGTTTGTTTAATTAATGTCTTCCTACTCGCTTCATTTTATGACTTACTTTAGAAGGCAATAAAAAATTGATTTAGGAAACTCAATTAATAATTAATTCTTTCCTTGGTATGCAATGAATTACTTGGTATCTGCAGAATTAGAAACAAAGGAAGCATTATAAAATCAATTACTATGTGAGTAACCTTTTGTTATCCATCCGTACCTTGTACCGACGTAAAGCATAATATTTTTTTTTCCCCATTTAGGTGGCCCGTTTTACTTCTCTTGGGGGGAATTCGCTTCCGAGTTGAATAAATATAGATCGCATTTCATCCAGTACGTGTATGAGTGCGACAAAAGTAGACAATTTGATATGCTTGTTAATTTAGTTACCTTACTCATCTATACTCGGTCTGCTAAAGTTTGTGTCTACTGAAGTTTGTGATAGAAATTTTAACAAATCGACTAATCCCTTGGATGTAAATCTCGTTTCTCTCCAAGTTCCGCGTCAAATTGAGAGTAAAGTTTCATCACGCAAACTTCCAATGTGTTATCCTAGAGGTTGAGATATTTAATTATTATTAATGTTATTAATATTAATCAAACTATATTGGAGTTGAGTTGGCGTCGTGTTTTGACTTGAGACAACATGACTTTAAAGTAAAAGTTTGTCATTATCCCCCCCTAAGGAATAGTATCGCGGGTGAAAAAACACAGTCTAGTTACGCCAACATTAGATATCCATCATTGTAGGTGACACAATAATTGTAGAGGAATAGTAAATACAAGCGACATTTGATAAAAATGTCAGACTTAGCATTGTTCATCCGAATTGTACTTTATCTTACTTTGACTTTTTATTGATTTTATTGTACTTCTGGATACTGCTCTAGATAAATCATACAACATGTTCCATAGTGCAAACTATTGAATATTGCTGTAGATTTTCTATTTTACATTAAAGTCTTACAGTAGACATCGGAATTACAATGGTGGAAAGGGGGAATGATAAGATGAATAATGAAAAAAATAATAATATTAATTTCTAAATTAGAGGAGAATTAACACCACTGAAAAGGTTGTCACCAAAACCTTTTGTAGTGTTGTCATTTTAAACTCATCAGCGTCGGAAGCAAATTGAAAATGGGGGGGGGGGGCTAAACCAACCAAAAAACGTTTGAGGCGCCAATTTTCAATGCTTACATTATTTCTATCTTTGCAAAAAAAGTAGGGGGACTAAGCCTCTCTCCAGTTGCGACGCCTATGAAACTGAATTTTAGCATCAGGGAACTATTTTAACCATCTTTAGCTAATGACGGCATCCTCTCGCCATCTTATCATGCTAAGAGGAAGAAAGACAAGACAATGCATCTTCTTAGCTGTCAACTACGCTAAGAAAAGATGTTTGGGTGATTGATATAAATGTGCTGAGACAATTAATGAACTTGATCTTAACGCGCTACATATTCGTACTGTTCAATAAAAGAACTCAGCAGTCAAGCGTTTTTGTCACCCAGACAACAAAAAGCCTCATCACAACTTCATTGCAAATATATAACCATATGGCGATGTTTTATATTGAGTTATCCCCCTATTATACCACTTTGTTAGGATTTTAAACTTCCCCAAGGCTTTGTAACCGAAGAAACACAAGAATCTTAAAGTGCCAGGAAGGTTATTTCAAATGAATATAAAACTGAACCATATTTCCTGACTTTTGGTAATTGTTTCACTGTTTATGGTATTGTAACTAATCGCCATTACACTAAAGAGACAAAAACATTTCCAAAGAAAGTTAGAAACTATCAGATTGCTTAGGTTTACGACAAGAAGCAGGAAAGGTCTGGTCATAATTTGGCAGTAAACATACGGGTCTTTACAAACATCAGTGCGAGTGGAAAATAAGTACCAAATAAACAGATTATTCGCTCACTGTTCAACAATATCGTGTTTCATGTCGTTTAAATTTCTCTTGTAGATTCAATCTGTGTATAGCGATACGGTGATTTTTGTGCTGTAGTAATATAAATGCTAATGATCCGCTCCTATTAAATATTTATTTTAAATAAAATTTTCAAGTTTGGTTATACTTGGAGATATTACCCTCTTGTGCGTTGAAGAAATGCATCAGATAAAAGCCCACACGGTAATTATTAAACTTCGTTTAATATTCATCCGCCGAAAGAAAAAAAAATACAAAAAGTAAAGCACTGTTTGGGCGACATTCGGTACTAGCGCATAACAGCATCATAAATAACTCAATAATTAAACCAGAAACCTTAGCTGACAATTTTAAATGCAATGTAGCTAATATTTTATGTTATCATTATAAGCCAATCTCTAAGACATGGCCTTTTCTTTTTTACAATATATATTACAGTACGTTAGAAAACGACCGTGAAAACCTAAATATACGATGACTAAATACAATAAAGCCGTGGTGATATTTGAACATTAAGCTTTCTTCTTTTTTGGGCAACACTTCATTAAACTAAAAACTAAGAATTGCTTGAAAAAGTCTAATAAAGTTAATCATGGTTTATCTTCTTAGTATGCATTCAAGCACAGTAATAGACCCATTTATCCCTGGTTACACCTTTAATTGAGGGGGAGATGGGTCTTAAAATTGCTGCGGTTTTTTTTTTCCTTTCTTTTTTTTTTTCTCACCAGATGATGCGGCAGTTTATAACTGTATTTGGAGGAAACGATAAAAAAGATTATATGAATATTACAAATGTTACAAATATGACCTGCAAGGATAAAGTTAAATTCGAAATGATAAAAAAAAAATATTGGAAAGATTGGATAGTTTCATTGATTTCTTGACTATTTCTAGTCTTGTAGCATATTGATAGTTTTCCGTGCTCAATATATTACAGCCACAAAACATTTACTAATTGATAAATTCTACTGAATTAATTATATGCATAGAATAAGTATCGTGAATATGTGCAAGGCAAGTATGTAGCCCAAATTTATTAAATGGAATGAAGTTTACTTTTTTGGTAAAAGAAAATGACGACCATCACAATGCACTGCAAAGTGAAATATTTGATTTGTCCAGTTTAGATGCTGTAGATTGACAAAGCAATATATTTCTATCAAACACAATAATAATTCTGTGATATTTTTTCTTTGAAAATAAACCAATTCCAAAATTATTTTAATCTTAGTTAAAATGTTATTAATATTCATATTTCTTTGACAAATTTATGTTGACTGCACCAATGATTTTTTTCAGTATGTTTGTGTGTTTCGAACAATGATTTTTTCAGTATATTTGTTTTTAGGTTACGGACAATGGTCAGACTGGTGGATGTATTCCGGTTTTTCAGGTGAGATTTGTAGAAACTTGATAAAAAATAATATTAAAAAGTCGTAGAGTTGTACATGTTAGTATATTGAAAGAGAAAGTATTTTTTTTAAAAAAGTCCCTCTAATTATCAATATTTCGATCCACTTTGAAATGGTTATTTTCCATCCATTAAACACTCCATTTTCAACGTGTTTTATTTGTAGGTCCATCTAATTGGCGTATCAATAAAGACTGGATTCTCTGCAGCGAGGGAAAATTGCAGTCCCCCATAAACATCTCGGCTGAGACTTTACTCTTCGATCCGGGACTAAAAGATATCTTAGTTACTGGAAATAGGGTAACATGTGAACTTTTCCACTATACCGTAATTGCGTAGACCTGATCACAACCATTGACACCAGGCATATGTAACAACTTGCTCACATTTAAAGCGACGCACTTGTTAGAGTATCATAGTTACAATATACCTTTCAATAATTTTTCAATTTTTAGTTTACTAAAAGTTTATTTTAATGATTTTTCATTGATTAAAATGAAAATCTGTTCAATAAATTGACATTTTCTTTCTAGGATGAAGAATTTTTCCAATTCAGAAAAAAATAAATACATGTATAAAACAGTGGAGTTTACAGTTAATTCTTTGGAAAAGTTTAGCTATTCAGTTTAGTAGCTTTCCAACACTTTTATTTGTACTACCTACTACAGACCTGTCTTCCCTTCTGTAGAAACACATTGCATAAATCTATATAAGGGAGGGAAAAATCCTTAGCAAGTGCTTTTTAGTAACTGGGTTTTTTCTAATTCTTATGTTTTATTTAAAGTGTCAAAAGACAATGGACAAGTATAGTTTTTGTCAGAATTTTTCATAAGGTTTTACAGCTAAAGAAGTTCTTCATGTAATTTGCGCGTAAATGGTTACATTTGCCTGAGAGCAAAACTTCCCCGACAGCAAAAAACTGCTATAAAACAGATTCTCCCCCATGAGGGAAGTCCTGCTATATAGCAGATTCCGTACAGCAGTTCTATTCCGGTGGAAGAAATGCTATAAAGAAGGGAAAATTTGCTATATAACAATGGTTTGCTATTTTGCAAATTATCCGGGGAAATATTTGATACAGAACACCGGAAGTCTCGATGATAGGCCGCAGCTGGTGCAACTCGTACTAAAAACAATTTTTTTTTAATTTACTGGTTTGAGATAAATACAAAATTTACAACATGATACAGAAACCAAAATAGAGCAGGTAATAATTGTTTAACAACTTCACAAGCTTAGAACAATTGAATATTTTCTTTCAGATCATGGGAAATTTGACGAATTTAGGAAATGACGTAACTTTTTTTGTCCGTGGTGCTCGCTCGGTTACTATATCTCTGGGACCTCTACCTTACGTGTATAAATTATCTCAGATTAAGTTCCACTTTGGCAGGAAGGATGGAATGGGAACAGAACACACCATAGACGGGAAAAGATTCGACGCCGAGGTAGACAAACCTACTATATATATATATATATATATATATATATATATATATATATATATATATATATATATATATATATATATATAAAATATAATATAATATGAATAGTGCCCGTTTTGAGGGTAACAGTTGAAATTGACACCCCAAGGAAAAGCATTGTCAACCGACGCGTCAGCGGAGGTTGACAATGGTTTTCCTTGGGGTGTCAATTTCAACTGTTACCCTCAAAAACGGGCAGTATTTATTTTATTATACTGAATGTCCTATTGATTTCGGATGTCGTAAAAAATTCGGAGATCGTCGTTAAGTTCACGCTTAGAAAGCTTTCAAACTCCCCGCTTCTATTTTTCTCAATAAGAAAGCTTCGGAAAAGATTTACCAACCTCGTTATTGTTTGTTTGCTACTCAAAAAGTCCTTTATCATCTAAAGTTTGCGCTCGCAAGAATTGTTCGTCTGTCGTTTGTTGTTTTCAAGTGAGTTACATGGGACACAAGATTTTATTGAAGTCGTTTATTCGGCTTTTAATCAAACGCACAACCGACGTTTTGAGAATTCTACGGTGAACCGTACGCGCATGATTTGAACGCATGTGACATTTTCGTAATGTTACCCGTTGTCAAGTGTGTTGCTAACGCTGAGGGTAATATTTAAGGATTGTTAAATGCGTCTAAACCAATCAGATTTTAGTATTTAACATGAAAGTATTATATATATATATATATATATATATATATATATATATATATATATATATATATATATATATATATGATAAAAGAAAATGCTTTTTTAAAATTATTTTTATCGTTTTCCATTATGTACAGATCCCAGTATGGAAGTTTACTCTATTGTCTACTTAAGCAACATCTTTACAATGTCAAGGTTTTGTGATATTCGTTTCTCTACACAAACTCTTGACAAAAAATCGCTATTTAAAAGTCGGGCTGGAACGCTTATATTTCAATTGTTCCCGTCAAGGACTGAGAACGAATCAGAAAATATCCTTTATGGTAGGCGAGTTTTGCAAACAAATATGACTTGTCTTTAAATGAAATATATGGAGATAATGAGATATATGGAGATAACGAACAGTATTCAAGCTCAAAAGTCCATTAAACAATACAAATTTTGGAGCAGAGCAAACACGGACCTCTAAAACATCAGAGGTGGGATCAGGTGCAATGGATATGCCATGGAGGAGTGAGCATCCCCTGCAGACCGCTCACACCCGCCGTGTACTCCTTGCCATGATCGGAAAATAACGGAAAAATCCATCGACAATTCAGTGTGTAAATAATGGCCTAACAATTAATATGAAAAACGTCAGTCAGCATTTGACTTAATGATAGATTGTATTTGCTGACAAGGTCATTGTATCGACCATAGAACTTACGAAATGACGACTCTGAACGAGACTGCTGATATTCTTGATTCATCAACTTGTTTGTCAATAACTCGCCTCGTTTCAGAAAATGTTCATACCTAGAGCATGCTCCAAATATGAAACAGATGTGTCAGACTCTGTGGTATCTTTTATTTCAAGCTCACCGGGATATATCGTATCGACATAAGAATGGAAATAACCATTGTCAATTGACAATACGTCGTCGATATATCTAAGTGTCGAGTTGAAGGCCACATCAAGTGTTTTCTTCTTTTCACGTACAAGATTTTGAACAAATTCTGCTTCATATGAATACAAAAAAGGTCTGCAATAACGGGGCGTAATTGGTACCAATGGGAATTCCAATAGATTGTTGGAAGACCTGGTCTCCAAAAACCACAAGGATATTGTCAATCAGACACTCGAGCATCTTTTTAATATCAACTTCAGAGAACTTGTGTGTACAATCAGAATGTTTTTAAACAAAATAATTTTTAAAATGAAAAGTGCCAATATTGTAGGATTGATATCTAGTTACCTCAAATGAAATATCGGAGATTAAAGATCCTTCTCCTTACAATCACAAAAGGTGTGCTATGGCTTTAATTGAGCCACTGAATAAGGACGGATTCGACAAAAATATTCTCATTGGTTGGTCTATAATTAATCATTACGTCATGTGTAATCAGAAGCCCAACTTTTAGATCGAGACGTTTGTCAAGGGTTTGTGAAGAGGAACGATATCTCAAAACCTTGACATCGTGAAGATGCTTAAGCAATAGTTGTGGGGGTCTATCGGGTGATAAATCCATGGACCACGAGGTAATCAATAAAAACTGAAGTGATTGATTGATCGTATGTTTTTTTACGTCCCGTTCGAGAATTTTTCTCTCATATGGAGACGTCACCATATACCTGCGAAGGGCTTCAAATTTAGACCTTTACTCGGCACTCAGGGCCAATGAGCAGCTAGGGTTCTTTATCGTGCTAACGCCTACCCTAACACGGGGCCTTGGTTTTTAATAAGGTCTCATCCGAAAGACCCGCAACTTTCACTCCAACGTGCCGAGCGCTTTGCGAAGGAACAGTTGCTACCTATTTTTTATCGACTTAGGTCAGTGGCGTCCATGATTCGAACACACGACCTTCCGATCACGGAGCGAGCGCTCTACCAACTGAGCTACCGTGACGATCAAAACTGAAGTGAATAAGAACAGAAGTTCGGATCCTTCACCATTCTTCGCCTTCTCCTCTCACCAGTTCCGATTTGTCAAATATTTCTCTAGAGGATTTCCATTTACGGCGGATATAATCTTTTATTATATTTTCAACAATGAAATATTGTGATTTATTTATTGAATAAAAGTGATATTCTCTCACAGTGTGAAAGGATACCAAAGTGATATTCTCTCACAGTGTAAAATTATATAAAAGTAAGTAAAAATCATTTCTGGTCTGTCACAAGCTAGAGATAGTAACTAAACCGTCTTGATAGAGATTAAAACTACCATTTCTTCCCCAATATATTGCTATATTCCATGTTTCAATCTCACAGTTGCTAAGCTATGACGTCTCAACCGTTCAACTATAACGACACAGTCTATGACACTGTGTTAAGAAAAGTCAGAGGCAAAGGGAAAATAAAAGAACATGTAATAAACAGAAAAAATAATGTTTTGTTTTGAAATTAATTTCACTCCTAAGACAGGATTTTTTGATATTTTCACTCGTGCTTTGCACTCGTGAAAATTTAAAAAAAAAAATCCTGTCCCACTCCTGAAATAAATTCCATATTCAACTACAAAACATTGAATATCCTCTATATAATCTTTGTTGTTGTTTGTGATTTTTCACCAAGGATAATATCCGCTGATGTATTATGCTTTTTTGTTGCATAACTGGCTTCTTCTAATCTATAAAATTGATACGACAAATGGCTGATGTTTGAATTTGAATACTTTTATATCTTGTTTATCACCACAGGTTCATCTCATGGCGTATAATTCCGATCTCTTCCACAACTACACTGCAGCTGAACGTTCACCCAGAGGTTTGGCGATCATCAGTCTTTTTATTAAGGTATAGGATATACCCCATAATTAACACTATGTGTACAAGGCTTCAAATATACCAGGAATTGTGTAGAACATATCGCCCGTAACTATCTTAATCAAAGTAATGAGACGGGGTCAAATTGATAAGATGCATGATTTTATATCTTCACAACTATTGTAGATTTTCATAGGATTAATATACAAACTTAAAAAAAATTGAAAATTAATGAAAATGACATTCAAAAATAAAAACATTAAACGAAATATTAGATCTGAATATACAGTGTGAAAATAATAGATTAAGAACTTTTGTATGAAAAAAGTCAGTCAATATTTCACTTTACGATAGATTGTATACGCTAAGAATGTCATTGTATTCTCCATAGAATTGTTGACTTTAAGTGGGACTGTTGATATCATTATGTCATCAACTTATTTGTCATTAGGTTGCCTCGTTTTAGAAATTGTTCGTACGTAGAGCATGCTCTTGCGTATTGAATCAACATGGAGACATAGCACTTGATCCCACCTCTAAATTTTGAGGTCCGTGTTTGCTCTGCTCCAAATTTCTATCGTTTCATTGGACTTTCGAGATTGAATACTGTTCGTTATCTTCATATTTCACTTAAACTCCATATGCAGGTGTTAATTGTATATTGCTACATAAATAAGGGAAGTTGACGATAGAAAAGTTAGAATAAAAGGGATGCAGTTGTTGATTGCTTAATACACTGTGATTTATTCATATGTATCATTAAATGTATTTAGGGGATAGATACTAGTACTCTTCTTGAAGAGAGAATTTATGAAATTCAATATACATGTGTTAATTTTTTTTAATTAACATTCTATCAAGAGTAGGTCTGTATTTATTGGCAACACGATCAACCGGAACTATAACGTCAATATTCTTGTAGGCAAACCGGGATACTACACATACTGAAATTAATAAAATAACCAGTGCTCTCAGCAAAATTCAATTCAGAGGTAGGTATTATTTTAAAGATACAAGTCTTTAATTTATCATGACCTCATCATTAGAATTGTTTCTAATTTTTAAATGTTTACAGGTAATACGACTCTAATAGAAGAGCTCTCAATTCAAAGCATCCTTCCAGAAAACCTACAATATATGACGTATGAGGGGTCCGTAACGCAACCTGGTTGCTATGAAACGGTCACTTGGATCCTTCTCAACAGACCAATTTTCATGGGGGAACACCAGGTTTAATTATCCTGATTTGTATAAATTATTAAACATAATCTGAAAGATCTACATCTATCTGTTCTGTTTCTTTATCAACAGAATTCCGTTCTTCTGAAATTGTAATTTCTGGAAAACCATGAATACAGTGCCATGTTAAACATACATTAATAACTATAAAGTTTTGGAAAATAGCAGCCATTAATCTATGGTAACCTTCTCTGATCACAGTTAAACGCTTTAAGGACCCTGAGGAGGGACACGCCGGAAAATCCCCAGGCGTTTATGTTTGACAATGTCCGGCCCGTGCAATCCCTACACAGACGGACGGTCAGGACCAACATTAATACGGTAAGACTTCTGTGTATAGAACCACGAAGTGAAAATACAAGTGACGTATTTCTTGTGAGATTACCATTCAGGTAGCATTTGTTCAAAATGTGATATTTAGATAATGTCTTTAAAATACTTGGTTGGAAAGCTCCATAGTTTAGGAAAATCATTGATGAAGGTTGAGAAATTCTGGTACCTCATCCTTAGGCGAACCAAAGGAAATACTAGGTCTGGTTAAGGGGGACCAGAATCCTTACTCACAAAATATTTTACTGTAACCTTTTTAAAATAAGAACCTAGTTATTCAAATGGATTTGAAGTTTTCCACCAAATTCTATAAAGACTTTCGTAGATTTGGTTTTGCATGTATGACGTAAGAAAAAAGACACAGAAACAGGGGCCATTTTAAAGGGAGTATTGGGGTCAGAAATACGCAAATTGTTTGCTGTTAATTGGTCCCGATGTTCTGAATAATGTACATTTTCACCAAATTTCTGAAATTGTATAACGAAGCATTTTAAACACCATTTCTCACAATGTCAAGGTATTGTTCTTATGTACCCGGTACTTAGACAAATAACAAATCTTTGACATTGTGAAAAGAGAGAAAAAAAATATACAGAATCTCATGTGAAATTCACATGAAAAGGAAGACAGAAAATCTATCAGAATTTTTCTCAAGGGTTTTATGAGAAACTTTTTCACGTAAAGTTCACTGGTGCGTGTTTGATTATGCAAGGTTTTATCGAAGAATTTTAATTATTAAGAACATTGCTGAACGTAAAGTGAATGCGTTTCATTTTGTGCGAGAAAATAATTACCCATTGTGAACGTTTAGCGCTAGTTGGAAATAAAATTACAATAAAAAGTGTCACCAACTGGGATCATATTTCTAAATCCATAAGGTTTGTAAGCTCTGGGATAGGTTTGATAAAAATATCTCGCTTTTACATCTATTGGATGGGATCGAATCTATTGGTTCAAGGACAACAGATCAATTTGATAAGGAACTAATTGGCAAAACATGATGATAAGCTGCACTAATATTAGTAGGCGTTATTTACATGTACTTTTTATCGGAAGTCACCTGGACTCAAATAGTATTTGAAAATTCCATTAACTTTGGCGACATAAATATGGAGAGTTGGATTATTTAGTTCACTGATATGACATTGTTTTATTGCCCCCTGTTCACGCATAATACATAGTAACAGTCTAACACATCGCACCTGACATGGTTATTGGCCAATACTGGGTACAATTCACTAGTTCTCATATACAGCACCTATACCCTGACAATTGTAACTGTAAGTAAAATTTAAAAAAATGTGTTCTCTTTTTCCCCGTTCAAAGGTTGTAGGTTAGAACCAGTTTCGAAAAAAAAAAATTCCGGTGGCAGTAAACATAATATTGCAATAGTCTGCTTCTTTTAAATAGAAATGAGAAAATGCATAGTGTCTACTATAATGACGTTTAAACTACACGTGCATGTTTGTCAGAAGAAAGGTTTATACACTACAAAATTTAATAAATGAAAATATGTGATTATATAAAGAAAAATTGAGGTGCATTTATCCACTGATGTGTTATATGATTAAAAAAAACAAACAAAAAAACAAACTGGAACGTAATATATTTTTTCTGTTTATCATGTTTCCACATGCTATTCACTATGTAGCATACCTTTAAAAATTGTTTCCTATATAAATATATACTTGAAGAAGTTTAACATTGCCAATGTTTTTCTGGGCGATCCCCCCCACCCACCCTCCAAAAAATCGATCTTATACCGCTGAGCGAGATGTTGGACCTGTCGATGAGATATTGAACCGCTATGACGTTTTTTTTTTTACGTCAAACTGTAGGCGGGACCAGCTATATTTTATTAATTATCGCAAACATGGAAGCCATCTTAAGATTTGAAAAAAAAAAAGTAAAACCTATTTTTAAAAAAACCAACATTTATTTATTGTGTTCTCGGGGAAAATGTGTGTCGACCCCTCGAACCTGTTTCCCTTTGGCCAACGGCCTTGGGCAAACAGTTTGGTTCTCGCATCCGACAAAACGCATGTTGCCCTCGAACCCAGTCAATAAATGTATACTTCTTCCTAGTTATACGCCCGTGAATAATTCACCGGATCCATTAACAGTTTGGAGGTAGTAATCTTGCTGTAGTCTCGTCAGAGTTAGGAGCACTCCTCGGGTAAATAATTTGCTGAACAATTAAAGTATCATTATTTCTTCTAATTTATTTATAAGTAATCTTATATCATTTTTAACATCTAAAACTACAATTAAAAACATCTTTAAAGTATTATATTGGGGTTCTACTTCGCGGATAAATTATTTCGCTTATTTTTCCTGAGTTTATAAATTCTACAAAAGGTGTATCATGACTTCTGTAAATAATTTTTATAGCTTATAATGTGATTTATTTTACAGCAAACTACATGTAAATAGTACACTATCTGGGCGATGTGACCAAAAGAAAATAATTCAGCTGAGTTGTCCATATTAAGAAAATATATAATTGCAAAAGATTTTGTCACATTAATTTAATGCACTAATTAGAGAGAGAGAGAGAGAGAGAGTTTAAAAGTATAATTCGAAACCGTAAAAGATATTTTCTCATAAGATAGGTTAGAGTCTTGGTGTATTGATGTTGTTTAATTCATAGATTTTTCCCCATTGGTTTGGTTTGAACAGATTTTATTGCCTTCAAATTTGACAAGTGGGATCGGGCAAAAGTTTTTTTTTTTAAAATCCATATGCCCTTTTCTTACAAGTAAAATATATCATACGTTTTTACACATAGGGGTCACAGTTTAATCATATGACACAAACTGAGTATAATTCATTAATTAATTAATTGCATCAATCAAAACGACCAGACTTTGATAAATGTTTGTACAATGGAAAAAAAGGGTATTCATTTTCAACATCACTTAACTATTTATCTCCCAAAGTAAAATATGAGTGCCAACGGTATGTAATTTCCCCATTCGCAGATTTTTTTTGTAAAAAGTCTTTCTAGCTGCTGTATCTATATATTTTTTTTCTGAAGAAATTAGGATGGTATTCTCTACCCTTCTACAAGAGCACTCAAAATTATATCGATATTTCCCCTTATCATTTATAATTATTGTATGTTCACACAAATTACCATTTGACTGTACAAGCTTGTATATAATTAAATGTAAAAAAAAAATAATAATAATAATAATAAATAAAGGGAAAAAGTGTGAAAATTTATTGAGAGAGATGGGGGGGGGGGGGCTCTAATATCAAAATATTGTTATAATAAATTTATTTACTCAAAGTTGCAAAAACAGAACTAGAAAGATATGACATTTTATGCCATGTAATAAGTTTCATCTCGGCTCATTTCTAAAACAGAAAGAAAAAAAAGAAGGGAGAAAAGGAAAACTAATTTACAGCGCAGTTTTGAGGAAATAACATTGTAAATAATAACCGAATAAATTCGATAAAGTTAAAATATAACAACCCATTTTTGCCCTATACGTTACATCGTCGCAAGCCACGGGTTTTGTGTCCATTCTATTTCCACAAACCCGTGGCTGCCTCCTACCAAATTCTCTCGTTCTCGCAACTGAATCATTGAATATTTATTAAGTGACGCCAGATTTACCTTGACCAATGAAATCACTCTGTAGCATTTTTTTGGTACGCTTAAATGGCGGCGCCCATAATGAAATCATGTTTGCTATGCGTGGCAGATTTATTGAAAAAAATACGATATATCCTGAAGAACAGAGGTGAGTAACGTATATTCTAAAATACTTACAAGGTTTTACATTAAAATAAAGGATTTCGAATGTAGACGTTGTGTGAGAACGCTGAATAGCGTTACTCGTTAAGAAAGGAAATTCGAACCGAAGTTGATGTACAGTTCGTGGTTATGGTTACATCCCAATACAAGATAGACTGATCATTTTAATTGGTTCTGACTTGAAGCGTCAGATGTTATTCCATTGGTTGAATGTATGTTATTAATATTCATGAGAACGAGAGAAATTCGTAGGAGGCAGCCACGGGTTTGTGGAAATAGAATGGACACAAAACCCGTGGCTTGCGACGATGACGGAATGAAAGATTATAAATAGTTTTCCATTGCATATCAGTTACATGTTTTTCAAAAAACCTAGCCAACTTATTTTCACCCGGTGGTTTTATTACTGGTTTATCTTACATAGGTTTTGATCCTTTCCTTGTAAAATAAATACTTTCATTTTATAGGGAATCACTGGTCTTTGAATAAATCCATCTTACAAAAGTGTAGGCTAGCTCCTTAAATCTGCTAATATTGTCTGTTTAATACCGTTGTATGTTACGTGATGTTTTTAAAAATTTATTTTGGAGGTTATCTAGCGCCAGAGTTGCTTCATTCATCTAGGAGATCCACCACATGCGTTATACTATTTTTGAATCAAGATTTATAACAGTTTGTTTTTCAATTTTGAAATTTCTGGTATACCATGAAGGTTGATAAATTTATTTATGCCAATCTTTAATTTCTGAATTATACCTTGAATTTCCTGAAAAGCTTTGAAAGTAGTTTCCAAAACTGATTGTGTTTATATACACTTATTATGCTAAACATGCTTATCCTTAATTTATTAGATTATTAATATCAATTATATTTTGAAGCAAAATTTTTCATGTGGAGTTACTGTCCTTACATAACACCCTCTATCAATCGTATATTTCTGAGCAACGACTTTTATTTTAATTCTATCAAGATTTGATTTTTATAGAAAATTAAAGATCTAGAGTAAATTGTTTAAGTTCTGCAGAAGACTGCTTTGCAGAGTTGGTAAGGAGATATATATAAAAGGTTAAGTTGTGATACAACTGAGAAGAGATTTAATTAAAACAATTCTCACAATCGGGGTTAGGTTTCTTTTTTTTCCATTCTTCTACAATTGATTTGATTTTAACAATTTTTTTTTATTTTTCTTTTTTTCTTTTTTTTTTTTTTTTAGTAATAATTGATTCTA